TTTATTTTTTAGTTTGAGAGAGGGTCTTGCTAAGTTCTCTTTCTATGGATCAGACCCAAAGCTTTGGAACTCCTCAGCCCAGGGGTTTCTCACAAACCTGAAAGTGGGGAGGAAAGTGAAGCTGACACGCGGGGAGAAATAAAACGTGTGTGCCGCAGAATCAGTCAGACCTCAGCTTGCGCCCCTGCCTTTCCATCGCGAGCTGTGTGACCTAGGCAAGTTATTCCACCTCTCTGAACCCGCTTCTTCCTCTGCAAGGTGTGTGACTGATGAGACTGTCAGTGATGTCAAGCCAGTGACACAGACCCAGCCAATGACACAGCCAAGTGACAACGACTGGGAGCAGCAATCATTTCCCTCCCGGCCCCCTGTGCCCTGTTATCACCAGGACTGAGGGCCTCCTACCCCCAACCAGCACGAGGCTGAGTACAAATAAAAGGGTGGGAGTGTGGATTAAGATTCTGAGGTCCTGCAAACTCCAGAAATAATCCCTTTGTTTAAAAAGTGTAGAGCACAAATCCACGACATCGCTTCCAGGAACCCCCACAGGTAAATCCATCGGACAACAGAAGCGAGGCCAAGCCACAGTGGGCTGAGAGGAAAGCAAACAGTCTTATCTGGGAGGTGTGGAGGCCCTAACTATAAGAAAGGAGGCCACTCGTCCCGTCAGCTCGGCTCCTCACTCAAGATGAAACTCCTTGTGCTGGCCGTTCTGCTCACAGGTAAGCACCTCCTCCCCCTTTGCGTGAGCTAAGATGTCCCGCCCTCCTCTTGAACGGGGGCCTCAGCCGTGGCATACAGGGCAGCCAGCCGCAGCTGGATCCTCACCCTGGGGCTCCTCATGGGATGTGAGAGCTCCTGGTCACAGCTCCCTCCTCACCCCGTAAGTCCCCACCAGCTGACACCTTTGCAGGCTCCTGGTCTGGACTCAGATGACCCCTGTGAGAAAGGGCTTCCCCGTCTGCCCGCCCAAGCTAAGAAAACCCCTGCTTCTTTCTCTGCCACATGGCCTGGCACAGTGATGTCTCAGAACCTACCTCAGCGCGCAAGTGTCACAAGGGATTCATTTATTTTTTTCTGTCCTGCCAACACTGATGTCTGGGTTCTGTGAGCAGACACAGACGGGGCACCGTGCACTGCTCGGGCACACTGACCACCCACACTGGCACCCATGCCATCTCATCTCATAACAAATGTCGACTCAGTACTATGCTCTGGTTCGAGACCCGGGACACAGAGATGAACAACCCGGGTTCCCACTCCAGGAGCACAGACGCGCACACACAAGCGGAGGCTTCAGGCAGGCCCGGCTTCTGCAAAGAGTGCAGCTGGCGATGACAGGGGGACAGGAGGGAAAGCGGGACCGGGCAGCCAGGCCACTTCTGTCTGGACAGCCTCCATCTCGGCGGCCCCTGTGGAGGCTGCCCCGCGGGGAAAGCAGCCCAAGACTGCCCTGTACTGGGCCCTGGGAATAACAAGCACAGCGCGTGGTCCCCAGGGCCTGGCAGATTTCGAAAAAAGCAAATCAGGGGCAATGAGACTTGCCCAGGACACACTGGCATCTGACGAAACAGGACCTGAAAATGTTGTGTCCTCTTCCCTTCAGGGCACCGAGTCTCATAGGATAGGGCTCTGGGGAAACGGGGTGAAAATGGGGTGCTGCCCTAAATTTTCTGTGTTAAACACTGTACTTGACTTGGGCAAACATTTTTTTTCAGCGCAGCGCTAGATTTGTTCATTCATTCAACAAAAATGTGTGCAGCACGTTATATGCCAGGCATGAGCATGTGTGTGCATGTGTGTGGGTGTGTGTGCATGTGTGCGTGTGCGTGTGTGTGTGCATGCATGCCTGTGTGACTGGGGGTTAAAACTAGGGCCTTCACTCTATCTGGAGCCCCTTTTTTATTTTGAGTCAGGACCTTGCTAAATTGCCCAGGCTGGTCTTAAACTTTCAATCCTCCGGCCTCAGTCTCCTAGAGTGCTGGGATTACAGGTGTGTGCCACCATGCCCAGCTCCAGGCACTTTCTTTAATTCACTTACTGGTTTTTCTATTCATTGAATCAATCACATCTATGGTAGATACAGATATACAGTGTGCAGTATGTGCTAAGCACCACACCAGACCCTGGAGAGTAAAAGCCATGAGACTGCCCTTGAGGAACTCATGTGCTGCCAAAAGGCACAGTTTATTTTGTTTTATTTATTTATTTATTTATTTATTTATTTATTTATTTGATACTGGGAATTGAACTCACAATCTTGCGCTTGCCAGGCAGGCACTGGGCCACTGAACTATAACCCCAGCCCTCGGCATGGTTTAAATAAATAGATGGGCACACATTAGTAGAAGTTCTGTGAAACAAAGGACACAAATAATGCCCAGATAATGCAGGAGCCACTTAGCTGGGGTGACCAGGAAGGGCCTCTCCAAGGTGATGACATTCAAGCCAAGATCTCTGCAGCCTTTTGCAAGGTAAGACAGCAAGTGTGCCAGGCAGGGCAAATAACAGGTGTGCGGGCCTTGCCGCAGAAAAGAGATCCTGCTACAGGCCAATCAGCTGCAAGGAAATGGGTAGGAAGAGGTGGTGTGAGATGAGAGAGGAGAAGTGGGCAGAAGCTGGACCTCAGGGGCTGTTCAGGGAAGGAATTTGGGATTTTTATTCCAGGGGCAGTGAACATTTCTTGGAAGCTTGAGGAATAACAAGGTTTAATCCCAGTTTAAGAAAAAAATGTTTGGGGGCTGGGGATTTAGCTCAGTGGCGTAAGTGCCTGCCTGGCAAGCGCAAGGTCGTGAGTTTGATCCCTGGTACCACACACACAAAAAAAATTTGATCTGAGATTATACATTTTAAATTATTAAGATAGTTGTTTTTTTTAATCTCATGTGGGTTTTATCTCAATTCAAAGAATCAAGAGCCAGGTATGGTGGCACATTCCTGTGATCCTAGCATTCAGGAGGCTGAGGCAGGAGGATTGCCAAGAGTTCCAGGCCAGCCTCAGCTACAAAGTGAGTTCAAGGCCAGCCTGAAGTGCATAGTGAAACCCTGTCTCAAAAAGACAGAGAGCTGGCGTGGTGGCACACGCCTATAATCCCAGCACTCGGGAGGCTGAGGCAGGAGGATCGCTGTGAGTTTGAAACCAGCCTGGGCTACAAAATGAGCTCAAGGCCAGCCTGAACTGCACAGCCAGATCCTGTCTCAAACCAAAACATCAAAAAAAACAATAATAATAATAAAAGAATGGTTTCTGAAGTTTTCATTAAAAAGAAAAAAGAAAAAAAAGAAAAAAAAAAGAAAAAATCCTGGGGTGTAGAGATTAAAAAAAAAGAAGAAATCGTTATTCACTGCATTAGGTTCTGGACCCAGCGTTTTCCGAGGAGGCACCTGGCAGCGATCCGGAAAGCAGAGAGCTGGCAGTGTACCTCTGGGGGCACCAGCAGAGCCATTCCAGGGGGATTTGAACTCCGCTCTGTTTTCTTGCAGTGGGCGCTGCAGAGCACAGGATCAGCACTCGGGCTCTGTGGCAGTTCCGCGGCATGATCAAGTGCGCGATCCCAGGGAGCAGCCCCTACAAGGAGTACAACAACTACGGCTGCTTCTGCGGCCTGGGTGGCTCAGGCACCCCTGTGGACGAACTGGACAGGTCAGCAAACTACCTGGAGGGAGACGAAGTGTCCATGTTGGGCTGGGGCAGGGCACAAGCCAGGGATCTCACGAGACACAGAAAGGGGAAGTGCACATTTGCCAAGGATAATATAGTTTCACCTCGTATCATGTAAAGAAATATGTTACAGGAAGACCCTGCATGCAACAGTTATGAATGAAAATGGAAATGTCCGAGATGTAAAATAGTGGACGATACTGTCACCTAGTGGTAGACCATTGCAATACACACCGTCACCGCCAAAATCCAAGCATCACACACAAAAAAGTCCCTTGGGGGGCGAGGCTGCTCACGCCTGTAATTCCAACACTTGAGAGGCTGAGACAGGAGAGTCGCCATGAGTTCGAGGCCAGCCTGGGTTACACAGTAAGTTCAAAGCTAGCCTGAACCACATAGCCAGACTTTGCCTCAAAAAAAAGTGGCCCCGGGGGCTGGGGATTTAGCTCAGCGGCACAGTGCCTGCCTGGCAAGCGTGAGGTCGTGAGTTCGATTCCCGGTACTGGAAACTGCCCCACCACCGCAAAAAAAAAAAGAAAAAAAAAAAAAGACGTGGCCCTGCATTTTCAGAATATATAATTTTACTGTATTCCTACAATCATGTTAAAATCACTTTCAGCAGCATGAGAGGAGAGGGATTACAGTTTCTCAGGCCATAGGAACATTTCTCCTAGAGCATCTGGACGAAGTCCTTGGTGCCTGTTTCTGAGCGAGAGCAGGGAAGGGGTGACCTGCTGCCCCGCCCGCGCTTGGCTTAGCTCTTCTCCCCTCTGCAGGTGCTGCCAGACACATGACCAATGCTACACCACGGCCAAGAAGATGGACAGCTGCAAATTCCTGGTGGACAACCCCTACACCAACTCCTACTCCTATTCGTGCTCTGGCACTGAGATCACCTGCAGCAGTAGGTTTACCCCTCCCTGACCTGTGGGTTCTAGGCGGCCCTCAGGAAGCCTGGGGGACATCATAATTGCTCTTTGTTGGACAGCATGCCTTTTAATCCTCATAACAACCCATGGGGCAGCTATTAGCATTACCCCCATTTTACAGGTGAGGCAACTGAGGCTCAGAACGCTGAGCCATTTGTCCAGGTTACATAGATTGTAAGTGATGTTTGCTATTTTGGGGGGGAGCAGGTCTTTTTTTCTCTTTTGCAATATTGAGAATTGAACCCAAGGCCTTTGCATGCTGAGCTACATCCCTAGCTCTTTGTTACCATTTTTTCTTAAATTTTTTAAATTTTTTGTGGTGCTGGAGATCAAACCCAGGGCCTTGTGCAGGCAAGGCAAGAACTCTACCACTGAGCCACATCCCCAGCCCAGTTATTGTTTATTTTGACAGGATCTCCCTAAGGCACTAAGTTGGCTGAGTTTGAACTTGTGATCCTCCTGCCTTAGCCTCTCAGAA